ATATTTTGTATCCGTTAGTTGACATTTGATTAACAGAAATTTCAAGAAAACAAAAAGATTCTACTTCTGCTGCCAATGCTTTCTGCTGGCTTTCATTCACACTAATTTTCACCCTCCTGTGTTTGTGTTTGTTAGCATATCTATTCCTAAAATTTTATTTATGGGAATTCATTGTGATTTGGATGGTTTTTATTTTTTAATATTTTTTATTTGTTATTGTTACTTCACATTTATGTAATAATTATATCTAAGTATATATATGTGGGTGTGTGTATTTGATAGTGTAAGTCTGCATACTTATAGCACACATTTTCAATTATGATAACATTTTCCCCAATAGTTCAATACAAATTTATAGGATTGCAGTGTAGCTTCTTGTAATTTTTTTTTAATTATTTCTGTATGTGTGTCAAATCAGATCTGACTGGTACAGAAGAAAATTGTCCCTCCTCCTCCAGGAGAGCATTTTGTGAGTTTGAACCACTCACCTCTGGGATTGCAGTGCAGCTTCTTGCCACTAGGCCACCAGAGCTCGCCTCAATAAAATTTATGATTGAAAAATGAAACAGAATATTTTATCAATCCATTTTATGTATTATATTATTATATTCATCTTTAGACATTTTTATGGCATAGTTAGGCCCACTGAGTAGTATTTATGACTCTAACTCGACCCAACGCCAACAATAACAACATAATTTTCAAAATATTAAACTATTCCCAAAGTTTAACCTTCATATGAAAAGCATTGCATGTCTTTTAAAATTATTTCTTTTCATTTACACTTTTTAAGCTTAAAATTTCTTTTATTACATATATTATTTTATTCATGTACATTGTGTTTTCTATATTTATTCCTGTACATATTTTCTTCGATGTACATTTTGTTATATACAATCATTCATATGTTGTGTTGTATGTGATTGATTACTGTTGATCTATGCCATTCTCCACCCCATCTGCAAGTCCCCTTTGCACCTTGCCTGTGCATTCACACTCCCTAATCTATGGAATCCTAGTGGTTTCTCCTCTCTTGCAAGCCTTCTCCCTTTCACATTTCCCTTTTGAGCAGTATAAATACCTCTCTTGTTCCCATTTGCTAATTGCAATAGACATATTGATCTTATTTTGATTCTTCCCAGGTTGATCCTCCTTTATCCTGGTCCTTTACAATGCTCATTGTCTGTAAATTCTACTTTTTTTTCTCCCCCCATTCCCATCCTTCAGGTACCCTCTTTAGCAAACTTTAATGAACCCTCTAAGTAACAAACTTATTTGCGTCAATCTCACATTCTGACACATCAACACTCATTGCCCTAGTAACTGTATCAATCCATCTCATCTGAGGTCTTCCTCTCCTGGGCTGTCCCTCTACTTTTCCAAGCATGATTTCTGTCTCCAAAGACCTTTTTCTCTTAGCTACATGCCCAAAGTATGTGTAATAGAGCTTCAAAATTCTAGTCTCCAAGGAGACTTTCCAGGACAGACCTATTTGTTTTCTTGTCAGTCCGTGGTATGTTCGAGACTTCTCTCCCGCACCACAATTCAAAGGTATCAGCTCTCTGATGTATAGCAACCTTTATTAGGCACACCTTAGTTTCTAGACTGACAACATTGTTGTA